TATAAGCACCTGTGATGAAAAGCTTGAAGTGCCAGTATTATAAGATATCCAGCAAGTGACGAAATGGTGCAAACAAGTAATCCGCCACGCAATATAAATAGACCTCAATACTAAGAACCCCAGGAACTACTAAGCGAACTCAGATATCTCCCCCAAAATCTCCAGCATCAAAGTCTATTGAGTGTGCAAAAGAAATGCTCCAAGGCGGAGCGACGGCAAGGCTAGGGAAAAGTACTTAGAACAAAGTGTGAAGAATCTATCCTCTTCAGCCGTACCGGCCTCCTTATGTAGTGTTCTTCCCACCACAAATCATATGACCCAAAGTGGTCACATGCACGAAACCAAATTATCACAAACTAGTCATCTGACCAAAGTAGTTACATGCTTAAAACCTATAACCTCATAGCAAGATCATATGCAAAAACTCATAAACTAATCATAACATAATATACAAGTCATATGACCCCAAGTGGTTACATGCACAAAATGTAAATGTGTGCATTCCGGAGTAGGAGAGAAGAAGCTTGATTTTTTAAATACAAAGCGAGAAGGAATACTAATATACTACATCAACTAAGTAGTCACACCAGACACTATGTCCTATACTACACAGACTACCTTTCCAACGTAATGCAGTAGTGATACCCTTATTCCAACATCAAACTACAAGAGGTACCCAATGTGGTAAACCACTGATAATTAAATTAGGCATAGTCAGAGATTGAGAAAACAAACAAGAGTCGTGTGACTAAAGAAAAGGAAATGGAAACTACCTTAGTACAGCAGATAACTACTAAGTTCAACACAAAATCCATGATTTTGTGATGAGGTCATTTGTGAAACATAAGTCATATGCGCAAAACATACCCACAAGGCATACCCACAAGGCATACTCGTCAGACACACGTCCCATGACTCATAATCAAGTCATGTGCAAAACATAATAAATCATAACATAACAAGTCATATGACCTAAATGAGTCATATGTGTAAAGCAATAACATACCTATGTTTCATAATCATGAGTCATGTGAAAACCTTTTCTGTACCAAGCCATATTCATGACAGATGTGATGGTAGAAGTAATGGTTGTGGAAAAAAGATAAAAAGGAATAGTTTACTATATAGGAGAGAGAAAATTTCGCATTTTTGGCTTGGCATCTTGGCATTTCACTTGCAAGATCTGGCTGTGATGGCAATTACTGTAGGGGTATATGTGAGCACAGCATATCTGATTATCAAATCAGTCACTTAAATAGATCTGATTACACATATCTGATTAGACAACTCAGTAGATATTAGACTAGCACTGTCTCAGCTCGTTGAGCACCAGCGTGGTGGTGGCTTATGTAATCATATATGTCCTAAGCAGTCGCACTATGGAGTAATATCTGATCTCATCAAATGCCACAATCTGATCATTGGATATCCCATGATGATATATACTCCTGTAGTATTTGCCATCACAATAGGATTTTGCTTGTATGACTATCCATATCTCCTCCCACAGACTTTCAACATTTACAACCTACTTGAGCGTAGATCGAGGAGATGCTAGTGTGTGGTAAGGAAGAGAAAAAACATTTTTGGCGGGGTAATCAGATTAGATGTGTACATTTGGATTAGATCGCGCACATATTTTGTAGATAAGATCATCATTTTCCAATAGCTACTTAGTACATATTAGAAATAAAATTAGATTGAATGTTCTAAGTAATTTCCTTACTTATTATGTTATCTGAATAAAACATTTTTATGATCTTTATCCTTTACATTTCTCACAAGCCTAAGTACAATATCTCTATAAATTACAATAATAGTCATTACCCAAGGGAGTGTTTATAACATAGGCCAAAGGGCCTAAGAACTATCAAAGGAAGAAGATATATATATATTAAGAAAAGGTATTGTTGCCTCTCGCTATATATTCACAGGGACTTAGGCACATTACAACTTTCGATTTATTCCATCTGTATATTTCCCCAATAATAGCGTTTATTCTCTCATATCTATTTAGTATTTTGAACTTACCTATATATGAGATGTCACATATGCTATGATACTACAGATAGGACATATTTTACGTTGTTTCGTTTGATCGCCACTGGAAAATAAACTTTTCAACTTTGAAAAGCCCTAGCAGTATGATACTGTGCGGTATCATAACCCAAATCTGCGCACTGCAACATTGGAGCTAGTAGTGTAGCCTATCCGCCTGATTACTGTGGTGGTCAAGTCACCGCAGCACTGCATATTCCGGCGCCATGCTGCCGTATCAAACAGGACCGGAATGGGCGTTAAAAAAGGCAGAGCAGTATGATAACGCATCGGACCGGGAATTTACCGTAGGTCAGACGCAGAGGTGAATCGCTTTGCACGCGAATTTTGACCAAATCCTCACTGCTGAAATTTTGGCGAAACCAAACCTCCAAATCTAGCTAAAAATAAGGGCAAACCTAATATGATGTGCAACCAGGAATACCTCATACACCTTTGTATTTTTTACCTTCCCGGTTTTGGAGGTCAGTTGGGATTTTCAGATTTCACTTTGTTTGGTGCATTTCAACAGATTCACTTCCCTGTCTGATCCGCTTCCCGGCCCGATAGTCCACTTACACCCGGACTCAAAATCCCCTGTCCGTCCCATCACCTACGTCTATACCCTAGTACGTTAGTGTGATTCACTCATAGACTACCGTACTTGTGGAGAAGCGGGTTTGCCGCCGTTTTTTTCTTCTTTTCTACACTCCTGTTAGGTGCTGTGTGGGGGGAGAAAAGTAATTTAGGGTGGCGGGGTAAGTTGGCGGGGTATGATATGTGTTGATGTTATTGTGAGATTTGGCTTCATTTAACTCTGGCGAGTTTTGTGTTGGTGCTGTCGTTGGCCGGTTTATTCTCTTCCTATCATACAGTGTTGTTGTGAGCGGCGGTGGTGGTAACTAAAGCTGTTCAGGTCCAGGACGCCGTAGACAATTATGAAAGGCAGTCCAGGGGACATTATATCGTCGGCGGTGGGTTTTGGGGGGCATCCATCGTTCATCCAGCCTATGCGCTTACCGCTAGTAATTTAACGTTGGTGTGATAAAGAATCTTTCTATCTTCTCTCACTCGGTTCAGTTCCATCGGAACACTGCAAACGGCGGCAACGTAATTCTTTGTCCGGGCGTTGTATCGAATGTGGGGGCTACAATTCCGTTTAGGGGAAGAAAGTACAGGTTTTGCATTGTTCGCATTGTGAGGCGGGGTGGTATGTACGAGTAGATCCACCCGCATGTTTGGGGGTCGCAGGATACAAGTAGAAAGAATATGGATGGATCATATGCCTCCACTAGTTTTTGTGTTTTTTCCCCTCCAATGGGGGGAGGACTGCACGAGTTCCGGGAGTTTGGGTACCTTTACCGCAATTACTCACTCGAACGTTCCCGTCGGTGTTGAACGACAGGTTACTGTACTGCCAAGCCGGGTCACACCAGGCCAATACTCGTATACGGAGGGGACATGAGCACGATTGAAAGGCTAAGGATGCCTTGCTCGAGCGCCCTCGCATCCGTTCTCGAGGACACATTATCGTGGCCAAAAAGCGAGAACCCTCGAGGATTGCCAGGAAGAGAAGGGGGCAAATAATGCTCGAGTACCGGCATGGTATCATAATCTATCTTCTACGAGTACTTTATGATACCGGTACTCTATTAAAATTTTTATGAATATCAAGTTACGCGCGAACCGCCGTTTCCGCCAAGGTCGTGCCCTGGTAGGTATGACAGACGGACAGGGAACTAGGGTTGATCCTTTTTTGTTTTCACTCACATACGAGTACACAAGCTTTTCCAACCTACTCACCACCGCAGGTACCTTTGCTGGTATGATATTGTATCATACACTACCAACATACTCAGCGGTATCTTTAATCCCTTCTTTCTTTCTTTCTTTCTTTCTCTCTTTCTTCCCCCTTCGCTCTTTTCCGCTTTCTTCACTTTCTTCACTTTCTTCGGTTCGGGGGTTTGTGGCCATTTTCTTTCTTGCCCCTCCTCTTGGAGCTCTATCATAACGTTTACCTTAATCATACTGTTGTCCCTGTAGTAGTCTAGGCCAGAGTTACCTTGCTTGCAGCTTGCGCCTTTCTCTCAGCAACCCCCCCCCCCCCCACGCTCTCTTCTTTCTTTCCTTCCCAACCACCCACCACCTCTCTCTTCTTCCACCTCTCCCCACCACAAGTCACTCTGGAATTCAAAATTCCGCAGTTCTTCGCTCCTTCCGTCTCTTGATTCTGCCCTTGAATCTATCCTGTCCTTCCTTCCTCTCACTCGGTTTCCCGCTCTCCCCAGCTCGTTTCTCTCGAAGCTGCCCAGTAAGCAATGAGTGACCATTACGGAACTATCAGTAGTTCTTCCAAGCGTCCCAAGCTACACAATAACTCCCCCGAGGAGCTTGTCGTCACCGGTGCCGGCCCTTCACTCGTCTCTACTCCTCCCAATATCCCGCCAGCTCCGCCGACTTGCCAGACTCCCGAACCCGTAACCTCCCCTAACGGGCTAGCTACACCTCCGATCTCACAAAATGTCACCAATACTCAGTTGCAACCCCCGCAGGCTATGGGCCGGCTTTGGGACAGGCCCTGGGAACCACCGCCGAATCCTTTGGGAGGAGTTATCAATAATCCAAACGGGGGCCCAACCTACAGTGATGTTATGACAAATTTTGGAACGCCCATGCGGGAATATCGACCTCCGGTTTTCCAACACCCTCTTCCTGTGCCCCAAAAATACCATCCATTGCCGACTCCTCCCGTTGGGAACGGGAATGGGAACGGGGATGGGAACAGGAATGGTAGTGGCAACGGTAACGGTGGGGAGAAAGCGCCCGTGGTTGGGGTTAGTGTTATAGATCTTACGGGGGACGACGACGACGACGTCCAAATTGTATCGAATAGAGCTGTTTCCAGAGATGTTCAGATTGTTCATCCAAATGTTTCGGAGGTGTGCTTTGGATTGATGGAGAAAATGTATGTTACGGCTCATTCTCTTCCAGCACCAATTCCATTGGAGGACCGGTTTACCACTCATTGGCCGAGAATACCCGTCTCATTGAAATGCCACGGCGGCGGTTCGTCGTTGAGTGTGGGGGTTATAGATCCATTCGGAAAGGAATTCGGTTCTCTCGATACGAATAGTGCGAGGGTTTTGGTTCCGTTGCTGGAGAGGAACTTGGTACGGCTCCAGACAATTGTCCTCCCTAGAAAGAAGCAACCGGGACACCTCCCTGGACCCGAAACCGACGGCAAATGCAAAACTCCGCTCGAGATGCAGGCCAATGTGTATGGGCCCGTGATGAATATGGGCGCAATAGCGAAAATTTTGGCGGATAAGAATGGACGTCTAAAGAGACCTTCTCAAACCGACGGATTGGAATATGTCCCACCCATGGGCACCCCAGGCGTGTCCCGGGTCCTGCCAGTGCAGGTTGATACAGAGGCGGCGGTTTTCACCATGCTTGAAGAACTGCAGAAGCAGGTCGAGAATCTGCCTAATGCCGAGGCGGATCCACGAATCACCACTCCCCTCTTAAAACACCAAAAGCAAGGGTTACATTTTATGATGAGCAAGGAGAGGGATCGTGACTACACTGACTCGAAAGGGAATACCTCGCTCTGGCGCACGTTCGGGCACGGTAGTCCCACATTTTATGAGAATGTCATCACCTGTGATCAGAGAGAGGAAAAGCCTGACGAAGTCTACGGGGGCATTCTCGCGGATGTCATGGGCCTGGGGAAGACTCTGCAAGTGATATGCCTAATTGTCGGTTCCCTCGACGCGGCGACGGCATTCGCCGCTCCGGCTGAAGGCGAGCGCCCGTCCAAGAGGAGGAGGGTCAAGACGACCCTGGTCGTTAGCCCTCTCAGCACCATTGGAAATTGGGAGGGGCAGATCAAGGCGCATGTCAAGTTTGGGACTCTCAGTGTTTACGTCTATCATGGCCCGAAGCGAGTGCTCAGTATAGAGAAGTTGGCTCAATACGATGTCATCCTCACGACTTACCAGATTGTCGGAGGAGAGTTTGCTAAACACACGACTGGCGGTGGCGGTGCAAGTGCTTCAAAAGGCAGCTGTCCGTTCCAGAAGCTTCATTTCTTTAGAATCGTCCTGGACGGTCAGTCAATCTCTTCCCCATAGATGAACATGAGAAAGGAACCTGCTAATTAATGCAGAGGCCCATATGATCCGTTCGCCCTCTATCATGCTCACAAGGGCTATGCTTTCTTTGAATGCTCAGAGACGTTGGGCGGTTACTGGAACTCCAATTCAGAGTGAGTTCCTCTTCGTTTGACCCTTTTTTTGGGCTGTACATTAACTGACCCCCCCGTAGATCGTCTTGGGGATATTGCGACTCTAGTCAAGTTCCTTCGCATTGCACCCTTTGACGACAGCACTGCCTGGAATAAATATATCGCAGCACCGTTTAAGGTAGGTTTACCTTGGCACGTGAAATGGTGATATTCCGCCAATTGATTTGGCGTATAGAATGCGAATATTGAATCTATCGCGAATCTTCGTCGTATACTTCATAGCGTCACCTTGCGGCGCTCGAAGGGCATCATTAATCTACCTCCTCGAAAGGACGAAGTGGTAAGGTTTTCTTCCCCTTCCAGGAGTATCTGTTGCTAATGTATCTTTACAGGTGTTTCTCGATTTCTCTAGCTCTGAGCAACAATTATACGAAGCTACCCTGCGGATGTCTAGGCGAAAGCTGGATCTCGTTCTGAGGGATGGCCACATCGGTGGGCAGAATTATGTTCATGTTCTGCAGAGTATCTTACGCCTACGCTTGATTTGCGCTCACGGAAGTGAGTTGGTGGGTGATAGTGACACCGCCGGGATCACTTCCTCGCATGCAATCAATGTTGACGAGATCGGTGGTAATGCTAGCGATCTGCCATGGTCTGTCAAGGACGGTTACCAAATATTCCGACTCATGTATGATGCGAATGACGACATTTGCGCTCTCTGCGAGGCCAAAGTCGGTATTAACAGTACAGCCGGCAGCGTTGGCGATGAGGACTCACCTTCAAACAAGAAGGTTGTTGTCATAGGTCATCTTACCGCATGTGCTCACCTGCTCTGTAAAACATGTGGGCCGAGATTCACCGAAGAATTCAATAACGCTTCAATTAGCGCCGCGGGAAACAAACCTTTGCACGGGGATTGCCCACTCTGTGGGGCGTGCGTCAGCTCCGCTCTACTGGATATTAAGAGCGATTACAATGAGGACTCAGTCCAAGATCTCCAGAGGAGGAAGAAGCTAAAGGGGAGGTACGGAGGGCCGAGCACGAAGGTCAAAGCTCTTATCTCATCTCTCCTTGAGAATAAGAAGGCAAGCACGACTAGCAGTCCTATAAAGAGGTTTTTTTACACCCTTCCTTCCCTCCTTCCTTCCTTCCTTCCTATCCATAATTACTTAATTGATTATAGCTAATTATCACATAGTGTTGTCTTCTCATGTTGGACCTCCCACATGGACCTTATTGAGATCGCGTTCAAGGATAATGGTATCAACTTTGTCCGCTTAGACGGCAGTATGACCCGCACTCAGAGAAACCGCGTGATGGAGGACTTTGAAAGGGCTCCGGAAATCTCGGTCATCCTGATATCTATCATGGCTGGGGGTCTCGGGTATATCTGACTCCTTTTCTCGTTATCGCCGTCCCGCCCAGTTGATAACAAGGATTGTTTTACAGATTGAACCTGACAGCAGCCTGCAAGGCCTACGTCATGGAACCTCAATTCAATCCTGCTGCGGAATCACAGGCAATCGACCGCATACACCGTCTCGGCCAGACCCGTCCTGTCACCACGACCAGATATATTATGCGTGATTCCTTCGAGATGAAGATTGTTGAACTTCAGAAGAAGAAGACCGAGCTTGCTAATCTTTCCATGTCCTCCGGGAGGCTTAGTGGGAAGGACGCCATGGCGAAGAAGCTGGAGGTATGATATGGTTTATTCCCCCCCGCGCGAAATGGTTATGGCTGACTGGGGTTTGCACAAAGGACCTCAAAACGCTATTCAGATAACTCTTTAGCTCTTTAGCCTCACTTCCTTTCCTTTCTCGCTACTCGTGCTTTTTCCCCTTTCATTCCCCCCTTGCTTGCTTTGGCATTTCGGCATGGCCATGGACTTATTACTCCAGGGGCCCGTCCAAATGGATACACTACATAACCCCCTCCTCTTTTTTCCCCTTTCTACTGCTCTTTGGGTGGTACGTACCACCGCTACCGCCTTTTTATTATGGCATCACGCGACATACGATATGACTGCGGCGCTCTTGTTCCCCGGTTCCGATTTTCGCTCCTGTTGTCCTCTCTTCCTTTTCCCTGTCACCAAGGATACGGTTGGAAACAGGTCCTATCATTATTCACCACTTAGAGGGGGTTTCTGGTACATTTTTTGATGGTTTTTTATTAGGTAATCCTGTGGGTCGGAGTTTGGGTCAGGGAAAACAGTAGCTTACCATAGCCTAATTTAGTGGCGAGTGAAGAAATAGAAAAAATGTTTGAAAGGGAACCGGAGAAAAAAATGGTGGTAGTGGGTTTTTGCTTGCCCGGGTAGGATAGTTATGGAACTCGGTTGCTAGGAGAGGATGTGGGATAGGCCTCAAGTAATTAAAGGATTTGCTGGACTAAATATAATATTATTCTCAGTTTTGCTTTTATTTTGTTGTGCTATGCGCAGTACTTGTATGAGCTGCAAAATGGGGTTGGGATGAAAGTAAACTTTTACTACTTCTGGTCACCCCCGGTATGATAGGTTTGCCATTTGTGCTTTGCAACCAACCAAGGAGCCAGCTCGACTATACTGCGCCAGAGGAGTTCTTTGTTCTCGACTCGAGCAGTATCCGAATAGCCAATCATTCCCTCCCCCCATAACAAATCCAGAAGCACAGTAAGTTATCATACAGCACAGTACTTTGCAACACGGCTCCTGCACACCACCACCAACTCTCTAATCCTACCATATCCAGACATCACGACACCTAGAAGCCCTTGGATTGTCTTCTCATCACAGCCACCACAAGCCAACAACCCATCTTCCCAAATTATGCTAAGCACCTTCACCGCCACCCCATAAGTTAACTTCAACTTCCCAAACCCTCAAGCACCCCCCTCCCCAACATCGACGTCCAAACCAGCGCGTACTGTGCTCAATAACCACCGCAAGGCCTCCGCAGACCATACAGAATAGTCCCCACTGAATCACTCACAATCGTTTTCAAATTTTGCGGATTATATTTAGTATTGGAAAAACAGATTATGCGAGTGACCGTTGATGTCCCAGCCTCTTTTTTTTTTCTCCCAGTGTATGATAAAAATGATTTGATTGTGGGAGTGTGTTTGGACGTAATGGTGAGTACTGTGCTGTACCGTACTGTACCGGTAGGTCGGGTTGTTGTAGCTTTTTGGTAAAAATGATTGTCGCGGGATTTGTTTTGCGGTTTTTTTTCCTCGCTTTCTTTCTTCCTTTCTTTTCGCTATGGGTATCATAAAAGATTAAGTGGGGTTGGTATTGGTGTGGCGGTTGGGCGGGATCGGGGATACGGGCCGAAATTAATCCGGGTAAGGGGAGAGTGGGTACGGAGCGATGCCGTGGCGTATGATACTAGACTATACTACGTTTATCCGCGTCACTTATGGTTGGTTAGTAGTCACGCCGAAGTTCAATGAATGGGAGAGACTGTACCGTACGTGACGTGACGGGATGTGATTCCGCTCGACTTCTTCATCTGCTGGGTCATTGACTTCTTACCGCTCCGTAGCATACCGGTATGATATGGCAGCATAGTTGAAGGTCTCCCATGTCTCATGCTTGACATGGTAGTAAGGGCAGAGTTGGCGTGGGGGAGCAACCAGGGCTGTTCCAGTCTGTATATTATATCCAGATGCTCAGGTATGATAATTCTTGCTTGCTTGCCCTCGTCCGGTAAATCCTTCTCGCTGTTAAGCCGTCAAGGCCCATGAATGTGTGTGGGAATAGTGGAGTTAGTTAGTTGGCAGTATCGTAATAGCGGTAGGGAGATGGGGGAATCATGAGGTTTCAGTTCTGCGCAGGAGCTGGCTCCTCGCCATCTCCTTATAACGGAAACTGATTCTGGAGGATCTATATAGGTTCCAAGAGGGCGATCGTATCAAGGAGACTTTAAACGTCAAAGGGATAACTCGATAGTAGAGTGAGGGGGGAGAATCGAATGGTAAAATTTAGTGACGTTAAGTGGGCCGTTTTGCTCGGTAAGCTCTTGAGGGGATTTTTTGTTGACAAAGCAGAAGATTGTATATTCTTTAGTATGATAGGATGAGATACTGAGAGCTACTCTTACTCTAAATTGCTGCCCCAACTTGGTAGGCTTATTCTACCTAATGCAAAAGGGTTGACTGATATATCTCTTTGGAGTAGCTATCCTCCACAGATGCAAGGCCACTTGGACCAAAGTATTCCGTTACATAAACTCCTGTTTGTCATGTTACTATTCAAGTTATAATTATAAAAGAAATGCCATTTTTCAGAAATGTGAGTGCCTATCACAACATTCTCAAAGATTTTATAGTATTTTAAGATTTATATAAGTTCTTAGGCTTGAATTATATAAACTTAAAACTAGAAATATTTGCCTTCTATGACATTGTAACAGACTTTATTTCACAAAATTTTCATATAATAATAGTTTATCTAATTTCTGAAAACATTTATGGAATATAACATTTTACTTGATCTAATAATTATATAAAAAAAAAGGTTTGTAAATTGATACTAGTAGCAAAAACTCTCAGAGCATGTTGAAGATAATAACGAAATTATTACTTTTAATAGTCATGTTTTTTGACAAGTATTATACTGATATTATTATAATAACTTGAAGGTCCTGTTTAGCATGTTGTTACTCTTTAGCATAAAATTTGGCAATAAAAACTTTCTATTTAGTAGTGTATTTGGTTACATTCAGAAATATGATACTGTAAAAAAAAACATTTCATAATATATGATAACTACTAGTATCATATATTGTAAAAAGAAACATTAAAGACTTAATAGATAGGTATAGGATTTAAACAAAAATATTTTATAATGTAATTATAATATCAAATTTTAACTCAAAATTTCCAATCATTATGATAAACTATTTAAATAATAATAATATTTAATCAGTATCTCTTTATAAATTTATCACCTTCTAAATGTCAGAATATATTTACTGTTAATTTGCAGCTTTCTAGCTCCAAACACTAGTAGGTAAATTCTCGATCAGAATAATACTTTTTAATGCAGAGTATTTATTTTGCATTTTTTTTTTTTAAAAAAAAGACAAACATTTATATTTTTAAAATATCATGGAATTTTATTTTAGAATAATATTATCATAATATTATTATATTACATTTTCAGCAAGTAATATATTTTGTATTGTAATACACGAAATAGCGCCTAAGCCTACTTCAAGTATTAGAAAATACAATGTTTTCAAAAAAAAAACACAATGTTCTTTTAACAGGTTATGATACAAGCTAAGCAATGCTTTAATTTTTACCAAGGCTCGAATTACTAAAGAGTGTAAAAGGGCCATATCCAGTTAGCAGCTACTGTTTCACCCATAGCAATAGAAACACAAATCTTGTAGGAGGCTTGTGGGTCAAGCTATAGCCAAAAATGTACTGTACAGTGTTAAAAATATTTCGTTTGGAACGAAAATGCCATTTCTCCGGCATGCCAAACGGGGTCTTAAATCTATTTCCCCTCCTCCCTCAATACCACGCGCAGCTGTTCTAGCTGGGTACAGTACCTGCAGTTTTGAGACCTGTGACTACCATACCTGAAGTGGTGAATTTTTCGAATCAAGTAGTGTACTGTACAGTACTTGGCACTTTATGTGTGAGCTCCCTCGTAAAATCCCGGCGCTTAAATTGGGCTTCTAAGCCGTTACGAGTTCCATCGCGGGAGATCGTCAGGCCCGATGGTGTGAGTGGCGAAATACTAAATTCCTGGATTCTTGGCTACGGTACCGGTACTTGAGTTGCTCGTGTTCGGGGGGGGCATTTTTTATATATCAATTTTTGTGTGGCTCTGCAAGGCTGCGATGGGGTAACTTATACTGGGCGACCGGGATGAGGTATGCCCAGGAAATATATATACTTGAATACGAGCATAAACTTGGGCTGTGTTAATACTGATATCAATAGGTATTGCAGAGTACAGCGCAGTGCCGTAGGTGACCAGGCGGCGAGATGTGGTGCTACGTTCGAGCAGAAGAGAGCACTCGAGTACCGTAGGTGAGGGCACGCATTTGGCTGGCCGGCTGGATAGGTTGGGGTGTGGGATCGGTTCGGTTGGTTGAGGACTTGGGTAGGAGGATTATTGTGGGATTGATGGCGGGATCGGACCCAAGATGATGGGCGAAGTCTTAGTCTAAGTGAAAGGTACAAGTGGACTGGGGAGAGTGCCATAAGTTGTTGGTCTGTTCTTCCATATCGGTTTATGGTGCTTGTATGGATTTGGTTGGTGATGTTTCTGTTTTCGGGGGATGAATGATAGTATCATATCCAATTATTATTTTGCTTTCATTTTTAAAAAACGATCTTGCGAGGTTGGGTGCTTTATCTGTGCAGTACCGGTACCGTATCTGGGTACCTGCAGCGGGTATATTCTTTTCCGAGAGAGTGAGGTACCGTATTCAGGAGGAATTCACTTACGATGCTTAAATTTACAAATACCGGTAGCTGTGCCCGGCGTGGGGGACGGGAGAAATTACAAGGTGTGAGAGAAAAAAAGAAAAAAAGGAATCTAGTGGCGGGCAAAACAACCGGGGAGGGGAAAGCTAGGGAGATGGGCTAGAGAGATACCGTACTCGAGAATAGAGGAAGGGAAGGAGGAAGGGAAGGAGAAGGGAAGGAGGGAGGGAAGGAGGGAGGGAAGGGGGGAGGGAAGGGGGAAGAGGAGGGAGTAGGGAGCAGAAGAAGCAGAAGCGACGGGGCGAGGAGTCTTCTATTGTTGTCGCCGTTGCTACTTGTCTCCCACTGATAAAATATATGGCGGTTGCAGTAACTACTACCGTAAACTACGGCCTCTCTCTTTATCATGAAGCGAATTAAACTTATCCTCGCACCATATCGAAACTGTGAAATCCCTTCATCACTCGCTATTTCTCGAGTTGGGCCCGCTCCTTCGCTCCTTCGCTCCTGCCTCTCCCTCTCCCTCTGCCTCTCCCTCTCCCTCTGCCTCTCCCTCTCCCTCTCTTCTCTTCCTTTCTCGCAAAGTTTGGTACGACAACCGCCCAACTCAACCGCAACCGCAACCGCAACCGCAACAGCCCGTGCAACGCGCAATCAACTTGGCTTACCCTCCCTTGACCGGAGGGCCTGCCCCCCCCCAAACCAAGGCCGACTCCAATTCGACCCCCGTTGTTCCCCTTCCCATCCTGTCTTCACGTTTCAACCATTTTTTGTCAACTTCCTTTTGCCGCCGCCGTGCTACTTCCTCCTGCGCTTCTCCCATCCCCCCCTGGTATAATTCTCGTTTTTTCTGTTGGTCTGTCGGTCATTGTCTCTGCCTTTCATTTCAGTGACTTTGCCGTAAGTTTAATTTATTCTCCTGATGATTTTTTTCTTCAACTGTTACTTGTTCTCTTCTGGTTGTGGTGGTGGTAGTGGTGGTGTTTCTTGTTCATCCCCACTCCATCTTACCCTACTCCCTTCCTCCTTGCTTGTCTTGCCTGCCCTACACCTGACCACCAACACCACCGTGTTTCCTTACTCTTCGTCCTGCCAGTTGAGTTTGGCGGTACATATCAGAGAGAGGAAGGGGAGGAAAAGAAGGAAAAGAAGGAAAAAGAAGGAAAAAAGTCTACTAAACGCTGACGAATTCTCTGCTAACTACTTGTTCTTGGTTGCCTTTAGCTATACAGATCAACGGGGAGTTCACTCGTTATACTTCTCAACCTGTCTACAACCGCCCGCCATCACGACCCCCGCCGAACGGAAAAACAAACCACGTAGAACCCCGTTCCCTGCAGGAGCCATTCCGTCTCCCCCGTATTTTCCGGTTCCTCACTTAGTCATAACGTTGCCTGGAAATCTTCGAAACTCGACATATCTCCGTGATTGATGCGGAGTCGACGCTCTTCCCAGGACTCGAAGGCCTCGATCACTATTAGGGAGAGCGAAGATAGCGAGTCATCATCGGTTGATGGGCACGGAGAGGGCCAATTGGCTGCTGCGAACGAGTCGCGGAGTCCTGGTGGTGAAAAGGAAGAGGTAGACGGTCCTTCTACGGAAGGTCTTTGGAACCCCCCGCAGGATCGAGAACCCTTCGACGCGACGACCCCGCCAACCCTCTCGAAGGAGAAGATGGAGGATACCCGGAATTTTAGGAGACCACGGTTGAGGTCCGCTTGGTTGTGCCCGTTATCGACGCTGGGGGTTACGCTTCTCTCAGCGCTCGTCTTATGGACTACAATACAATCGTTCAGGGAACGGCAGTGTGATATCAAGGGGTGTCTGATCCCGCAAATGTCCCCCGTGTACATCCGGGAGAAGGATTTCGACACGGAACACACGAGATTTGCCAGCAAATATAATCTCTACCTTTACCGGGAACATAATGTGGACGTTGAATATCCGGTATGTTTTTTGTTTTTTTTCTCTTTTCTTTTCACCTTTCGCTTTTTTTTTTGTTCCCCCCCCCCCTAGGGAGCCTCTGCTGTCCATCTTTTTATCTTTATTTATTTTTATTTTACTGGACCGTCATTTGACGTTTCCCGAACTGTTGTTTAAAGGATCTTTGGCCGGTTTTAGAGGCAAGAAGCGAGTTTGCAAGGAAGAATAATCGCCCCGAATTCAATGATGATCCATTCACCATTGATTGTTCTCGATCCCAAGTTCTTCCGAGTCATTTGCTAAGGTGCTCGCAGCCCAAAGGGGTTCCGGTACTTTTCATCCCCGGGAATGCCGGCAGCTACAAGCAAGTGCGACCAATAGCAGCAGAAGCCGCACGATATTTTAAGAACGCAGCAGCCAAGGACGAGTCGTTATTGGGAGCGGGACAACGGGGGCTTGATTTCTTCACCGTGGATTTTAATGAGGACATAACAGCGTTTCACGGCCAGACGATGCTTGATCAGGCTGAATATTTGAATGAGGCGGTTTCGTACATTCTTTCGCTGTATCACGATTCACGAAAGTCGACAATGGATTCGGACCTGCCGGACCCTAGTTCTGTTATTCTATTTGGCCACTCGATGGGTGGAATTGTCGCCCGTACCATGTTGATCATGCCCAACTACCAGTCGAATTCCATAAACACCATCATAACAATGTCTGCACCCCATGCTCGCCCGCCTGCGCCATTCGACAAGCAGATAGTGGAAACGTATGACGACATTAATAGCTATTGGCGCAAGTCATTCTCGGCAAAATGGGCCAATAACAACCCACTTTGGCACGTGACTTTGGTCTCAATTGCTGGCGGAGGATTAGATACAATTGTGCCTTCTGACTATGCTAGCATTTCGTCTTTAGTGCCTGATACCCATGGTTTTACTGTGTTTACGTCTTCTATTCCCAATGTGTGGGTTGGCGTAGATCATCTTGCAATTCTTTGGTGCGATCAGCTCATGAAAGTTGTAGCTCGCGCTATGCTGGATATTGTTGATGTAAAAAGGCCTGGGCAGACAAAGGCTCGTGCTGAGAGGATGAGGATCTTTAAGAAGTGGTACCTCACTGGTATGGAGCCAATTGCGGAAAAGACGCTGCCCCATAAAGGTTCGATATCAATGCCGTTCTTAACGGAACTCTACCATGTACTAATGATATTAGACCCTACTACTCTGTTGACACTTGATAATTCCCATTCTATCGTCAATCTTGGCCAGAAACTTGTTCTGCGACAACTGGGAGAGTCACAGAAGCCTCGTGCTTATTTGATGCCCATTCCGCCTTCACGGGAGTTGGGGAGCACGAAGTTTACATTGATGACCGACCAGAAGCTGGATGGAGCAAGGGATGGGAATTTAGAGGTGCTTTACTGCAGCGTCTTCCCCCTGCAAGCTGGACAGACGGCCGCTTTGTTCTCCATGAATATGGATCTGTCTGGGGATAGTTCTGGCTCGACGCGCCTTGCTTGCAAGAATGCCGCTGAGGATGTCATTGAGCTTCCTGCTTCCGTGCGGACCTCCAAACAGCCGTTTGAACGAGCCCAGGCGTTTTCTTATTTGCAGTATGACCTCGAGGATATAGCTGAGCATCAGTTTGTGGCTGTTGTGGATAAGGCTAGTAGAGTGGCGCAGGGTTGGGTGATTGCAGAGTTTGTGGAGAAGAAGGACTCGTATATACGATCGAATGCTAGCCTTCGTGGCTTGCTGATGGATGGTGTTCATGCAACTTTGCCAGCGGAACGGCCCTTCGTGACAGAAATCCATATTCCCGTAATGCACAGTAGTCTGCTGACCTACAAGATGCGTGTGGGTGTGCAGTCCTGCGGGGAGGATGGCCAGCTCTTCACTCCGCTCCTCCGTCAGTACCTTGTCGACCCGTATGAGTCCAAGTTCTTTGTTAATGTGCACTCTGCGGATATCAATCTTCACGGATCCGCCCCATTCATCCCCCCGGCACTCCGGCCTAGTTCCCAGCGCGGCCTTTCGCTGCAGCTTTGGCTAGATCCTACGTGCAACAGCACTGTTGAGATTGAGGTTAGATTCGATTTTCTCGGGAGTCTTGGAAGGCTTGCCATGCGGTATCGGACCGTTTTTGCTGCATTCCCGTTGTTGGTTGTCGCGCTTGTTCTCAGGATTCAATTTCGGGAATATGATAATAAGGGTATGATTTATCGGGGGGGGGGGGGGCACTGTTGCATGGAGCTTTTTTTTTTGATTGCTAATTATGCATAGGCCGCTTTATGAGTTTTGGGGAAGGTCTTGACAGGCTCATTCCCAGGACTCTGCCATATGTTCTAGTGGCGCTGTCGGCGTTGGCTATTTCCCTTTCGTTTGCCAAGGCCAAACAGGACAACCCCGTTCCGTCACCTCTGTCAAAGTCCGTGACGGAGCAGTCTGCCACTGCTATAGAGTTCGCGAAGAATGATCTGCTTGTTGGGCTGCAAGATCCATTCTTTTGGTTCCTTGCGCCGCTGTTTGCTCTGATCGCCGTTGGCGTTTGCGTTGTTTTGAATTACGGGGCGATGCTGAGTTTGCACTCGTTGACTACTCTTTACACGCTCTTTAGCAAGTGGCCAACCTGGGTTAACATTGAGCGAAGGTGTGTGCTGAGTATAAGGTTGTGTGGGGATAGTGCTGATTTTAGTTGTAGATCACCAGCGATCACTCCTGCTTTTTCCACTAGCAGCCCCAAGCGACGGATAATGACGACCTTGATGCTCCTGTTCTTTGTCGCGACGCTTATCCCTTACCAGTTCGCGTACATGGTTGCTTGCATTGTACAGATTGCCACTTGTGTCAGGGCTTTGAAATTTGCTAGGGAAAATGTGTGTATTGTTGGAGCTTTTGGCGTTTTTTTCTTTTGTTTTGCTTTTACTGACGTAGCTGCAGGGATACTCCGAGCGATCCGGCACGTACTGGGATTTCTACCATTACGCGCATTCTATCCTCATCGTGATGCTCTGGATCCTACCAATTAATCTCCCAGTACTAGCTGTGTGGATACATAACCTGACAGTCCACTGGCTCACACCATTTTCGTCCCACCACAACCTTCTCTCGATAATGCCATTCATCCTACTCGTCGAAACATTGACTACAGGGAATATGATTCCCCGGATCAGGAATCGGTATGTTCTACCCACCCACCTTTTCCAGTTTCTGGTGTTGGAGTACATAACTAACAATGGATAGACTCTGTCTCGTAACAGACTTACTCTTCCTAGGACTAGCAGCATATGCCGCCTTATATGGCGTAACATACGCCTACCGCCTCCACCACCTGGTGAACTTCATCGCGGGGTGGTTCGTGATTGTTCACTTTAGCACAGCGCCGCCGACGATATCTGGCATAATAGACCTATTTAATGACGATGGGGATGATGATGGGTCGAAGAAACGCCATCAGTGAGACCCTTACGGGGGCTGGGAGAGATTCACATACCTGTCTGCCTACCTACTTGCCCGAGGAGAACAACGGGGGGGTACAATAAGAACTTGAGATTTTGTAGGATTATTATAAGCAAGAGCGGGGGTTTCTTTTTTTTTTGCTTTTACTTTTTTTTCTCATGTTTAGAAAGTTCATCGAGCAGCAAAGCGTTGGACTGTTTTGGATGGCGTTATGTATTCATTTTTTTTTTTACACTTTTTCTATATTTATTTTTCTGTTTCCTCTTACCATTTCACTTTCTTCCTTCTTCTGATACTAACCCTTTCCCATCGCTCTTTCTCCATAACCCCCAGCCTGGCCTTTCACTTCCGCAGTACTCTATTTCCTCCCGCTCGCTTGATCTGGCTTTAGCTTGGCGAGCTGTGGAGTTGCCAACAGCCCATTTACCTTCCCTTTATTCCCCCAACCCATCGTACTTACCTATTGTATACTACCCATCTTCACCCCTTTCTTTTCTTTTCTTTTCTTTTCTTTTCTTTCTTTCCCCTTTTGGCTAGTTGGTTGTATTGCCGAGACTGGACGGACGGAACATTATTTAATGACCTTTCTCATTTTTTTCATTGTACATATCTTTCTTTCACTCCTTGACTGCTGGATATCCATCTCTTGCACATGTATTGCTATTATCGCTACATATCATATATCATCACATATCAAGAATGAGTTTTTTGAGAAGTTAAGGGTCCCCCCCCTTTTTTTTAATTTAATTTATGTTTTTATATTTGCTTGTTATGAATGTGAGTGAGTACATTACATAACTTGCTTGGTAGTTATTTGTTTATTTACTGGCTGTGTAGGATGATATGTGAGGAGGGAAGAGGGGAGTAGGTAATACTTGCAATTTGGGGAGGAGATTGAAGTAAGCCAAGATATTTATTTATTTGCCTTTCCTTCCCTTTCCGGGCCGGGGTCCGGGGTGGGGTTAAAATGGCCTGTTTTAGTAACAAGGGTGGTTTATCCCGTTAGCCACTGGTAAGTTCAATGTCTCGATGGGATAGGATGGGGCGGTAGAAACAGAGGCGGAGACGGAATAAGAACGGGATGCAAACCCAGTATAATCCCCACTCATATCCCCAACGCCGTGCAACTTATCACCGTCCCTACTGACCGCCGTGAGCCTGACCAAGACCCCATCGCCAACCCTGATACTTCTGCTTATCCCTTCTCCTCCCCCCCCTTCCTCATCCTCCCCCTCCTCCCCTTCCCCCTCCCTCTCTTCCTCCCTCAACGGCCTCTTCAGCACCCGACTCTTATTCTCCTTCTTCCCATCCCAAGTAATCCCCTCCGCACAAAGCGCCACGCTGACAAAAACGCGCATAGCCGCACCACACATGAGGAAGACCCCGAGGGGGCTCGTCCCGACAACAGTGCCGAACATGACCTCTCCCGGAAATGCATGGAACATGAGTGCCTCGAAGGTAATGGTGAAGTCGGCGCCTCCGTCAGTGCGGATGTCGTTGCCGGATGGGGGGATGCGCCCGCCAGAGATGTCGAAGATTTGGGTGACGGCGATCAGGGTGCTATTGTTTGCGCTGGTCTTGCCTTCGTAAGAGTATAGGATGTCGATGAGGGCGCGCATGTAGTAGCAGTGAAAGAGTTTGGGGGGGAGGTGGATAGTGACGCTTTCGGTGGATCTGTAGAACATGGTTGTTGGTTTGGGTTTGGTTTGGGTTGTGCGGTGTGGTGTGGTGAGGTGTGATTGTGGTGTAGTGATCGTGGTGGAGAGAAGATGAGAGGGTGGTTATGGTAGGAGGAAGGTGAAGTAGTGGGAGCTGTGGATTGGTGCGAGGGAATACCATTGCGACGATGTTTGAGGGAGTGCCATTGTGACGGTGTTTGAGGGAATACTATTGTGACGGTTTGAGGGAGCGCCATTGGGGTAGGGCAGGGTGGCCGTTTCTTTCAGGGGTTCGCATCTCATGAGAAGGGAGGTATGATAGTTGAGCTGGCTTGGTGTTTAGGTTCTTGATAGCCCTGACTGATATAAGAAGTCCATCATGGAAACTCACTCGTGCAAGTTTTTGCTTTGGCGTCGGGCCTGGAAGTTTTTAGTTGCGACACTATGCTCGCCATTCTTGCCAATGCCTTTTTTTTCTCTGTGAAACATCGAGATTTCGTTTGGACACACCCTCGTCTTGCAAAAGCTTGTGGCATACGAAAATTGAGAGCGCTTGCAGCACCTCGTGGTGAATTGAACGGTTTATGTCAAGGTCTGTTTGAATTGTGGCGCCCGGTACTAATGCGGTTTGGGACTTCGTGACTAACATCTGGAATTAACCAACATGCGACACCACTGCTAAATGCATAGAAGCCTGCTTCGAAGTGCTCAAGCGGCCGGATTGAAACCAGAAGCCCCTATCGCATGGCTCGCTTAGCCACCTTCTGATTTCAATCCGGCCACTTGAGTCCTCGAGTGCCGGGAGCCTAAGCTGCAGCCCTAGAGGCACACACAACCATGCACCCGGTCTGATGACATGGACAGCAAGGCACCAATGCTTTTCCCGAAAAAAAAAAAGTACAAGGTGGGCCTAAGGCTGAGCACACAAGACGCACTTTAATATTGGACCCCACTTGGTGGCTGAGTGAGTTGGCGAACCATCGTGCTCAGTCGGGTGAAGAGGAGAAGCATCGTGCTGGGTCTATCCACCCGATGTTGGCATGTCTCGGAGGCAATAACCGCAGAGGCCGGCCAGAGGCACCTCGTCCACGAGATCGAGATCTCGCAACATAATTATTAATAGTATCACGGAAGATAAAGCCGAGTCTGGAGATTCGTAAGTTTTTGGATTGAACAGTTCTTCTATTTTTTATTTTTTATTTTTTTAGCAGCGAACGAACTTTGCTATACGTTACTCCTACCGTAATCCACAATAGTGGTACCAGGAGCTGTATCACCGCTGCCACTTTGGAGTACGGGTGTCTCCTCTTTCTCCCTCCCATTTTCGACTCCCTCGACTGTCTCCTTTTCAGGCGAGGTTTGAGAAAGAAGAATACGAAATTCGTGTTCATGAATCGTGGGGACTATCTCGGTTCGGTCCTTTAGGTGAATAGCTCTGACTCCCACACCCGGAAGGAGCACAGAGGCTGATGTATTCCAGATTATCTGCTCCACAATGCCCTCCTTTCCCCCGAGGCAAAGATACATCAAGGGTCGAGGTGACATGGACATGTGTTTCCGTATTCCCGGGGAGCAGTGCTCTGGCGCAGCCAGGATGCCAATAGTTTCCGGCTTCTTCGACGAAACCGTGCCGTCGAGCTCGCGGATAGCAGCAGGGTGTATCTTTGTGCATTTGCACTGTACCAGGGCATCATAGACTCTGGGTTTTTGAGATTGCTCAGATGGTAGGTTTGGAATCGTCCAGGTACCACGCAGGTCCACGCCTCTATCATCTCTCCCTCCGGTCCGCTCTAGTGACATACCAAATGACTTGAGAGCTTCTTTGACAGTGTATCTTCAATCAATCCAGTTGTCAGGTCCCATTCCACTCATCCGTACGAGAAAAAACTTTCGAACAAAGTTTGATAGAAGCTAAGATTTGGAACAGATTTGGAACATACTCATAGAGCGTCCCAACATATACAGTGGTATGGGTTGGTAATGCTATCCCTTTCGCATATTTGAGAAATGACTCGAGGTCGTAATGCAAATCGCTGGTTCGTATAGCGCCCACAGCCTTGCGCGAGTACCTTTTGTTGGTGTTGGCGAGGAGAATAGGATGTGAGATGAAGTAGCGTTGAAGGGTGGCACGCATCTTCTGAAGAATTGTCGAGAACTGTCCTTCTATCAGTGATTTGTAAAGGCGGTTCTAAACAATGGCCGAAATAATATGCCCGTTTCTCTCTTTTCGCGCCTCTTCTCTGATACTCATGTTCGTGCGGCTCGCTTGCTTGCATGGCTGTGAGCTTGAAAAAACTCGACCTGAGGGCTTTGACCTGACTGATTTTCATGCCAGTAGATGCCAAGAATACAAAGCAACCACCCAATCATTATACCCCGTGACGAGTAAAAGACAGGCTGTTTCAAACCACTCGACCAATAAGGAAATTTTTTCAAAATTGGTTTAAGTGGGGTATTTTTTTCCCTGCCCCTCCTTCTCGCTCCCACCCTCAAGGCCCTTTTATCCCCTCCTCCATCTCATTCCCCATCACCACTCCTTCTTCCTTAACCTCCACTTCCTAGTATCACTGCCGTTTTCTGTTTAATCTTTCTTTTCTCTTCTCTACAAAGTCGCTTGTATCCATATTTTCATTCAAAATGGCCGATAATGATGAGCAGGTAAGGCATTCCCCCCTCTAGCAAGGTGGGGAAAATTGCTTGTTTTCCTTCTCCTTCCCACTTTGCTTCCCTCGCCCCTACAGAAAATCTATGATTTATTGGGGTTCCCTTTCACCCTTGAAACTACACCTTCATACATGATACACATCAGAGTCCAGCTATATAAGACAGAGGGAAAAGCACCCTGTTTAATTCTTCCATGCGCATAGCACAGGCGTTGGTGCTAACGTTCTATAGCACAACCACACCTTTGAGCAGGCTTCGGCCGGTGCCTCTGCCACCTACCCCATGCAGTGCTCTGCGCTTCGAAAGAATGGGTACGTTCCTGCATTCCAAATTCCTTCACGTCTAAGGCATATTCACCTATGTGATATGTATACTTTCCCCTCGGGTGCCAGGACGCATCTAACATCTCTTGCTCCACAAAGACACGTCGTCATTAAGGGCCGCCCTTGCAAAATTGTCGAGATGAGCACTTCTAAGACTGGCAAGCACGGTCACGCCAAGGTCCACTTGGTCGCCATTGATATCTTTACCACAAAGAAGTTGGAAGAGCTGTGCCCTTCCACCCACAACATGGATGTCCCCAACGTCTCACGCACTGAGTACCAATTCTCTTACATCGATGATGACTACCTCCACCTCATTGGGCAGGACGGAACCGAGAAGAATGATGTCAAGGTCCCCGACGGAGATGTTGGTGATAGGATTAGGGAAGCTGAGGAAAAGGGTAAAGATATCTGTAAGATGACACCCCTTGGGGATCCCACCCCTCACGTGCTTGTATCGAACATTCATACTAACGATTTTTCCTTAGTGGTTACCATCATTGCCGCTATGGGCGAAGAGGCTGCTATCTCTGTTAAGGAGGCCACTTAATCATCTTATCTATTGTCATGAGGACGGTTAATGTAGCTTCTTTTTTCTTCATTTCCCCCCTTCTCTCTCTTTTTTTCTTTCTCCGTGAGCGAGTTTGATCATTGGGTTTCAATCAAATCAATTGGAGCTTGGGCGGGAGGTTCATGAAAGCGCGATTTTTTTCTTAAACCAAAAAAACAAACCGTTCTTCACCTTTTGTCTGAAAAAAAAAAAAGCAGAATATCTGCAGAGGGAGGGAAACAGACGGAACTTGGGATATTGCCATTGGATCTCAACTCCGTCGTTCGCTCTATTTGCGAATTAAAAATAAAAATAAAAAAAATTATGTTCCTGCGCCTTAGTTTCTCGGCTCACTTTCTCCTCTGTGAATCCATCCAATGTCTTATCGTAGGCGTTTGAACTTGCAAAAATGGGCTAACGTAATCGTCACCCCCTGCTCCCGAAATGGGAGCCCACAGCCGTGATCTATCGATCTTCAATTCTACTACAAGTACATATTACAGTGCTATTGTATATACCATACCTTACAAAGTAAGCCCCTCAAGCATAGAGGATTATCGTATAGTACAGAGCAAGCGTTTAAATTACCCGCACCAAAACCCATCAGTCAAATCATCGTCACAGGAGCTTGCTTACCGGTACTTGCAGCGTAAGCTATCATACCGGTACAGTACGGTAGTCTATGTATAGTATCTCCCGAGGCACAATGGTAAGAAAGACAGAAGGGAACCAGCGCTCTTTGAGAAAGAATGAGGTAGCCCCGATGGCGATAGCAATATTTTAGCTCCCATATGAACGCGTTTTTATTAGAACCTGCACATGGGCACCCAACACCAAACAAATTTTTTTTGCATATGATAGCAAGCTTCATAGACATGTAGAGTATATATTCATAAGTTTAAAAAATATTCATGAGCCTTATATATACTGTGAATTGCATCCTCTTGATTTACTTGATATTATTTTTTCTGGTTAACACATTATAAGAAATTTGTTTTTCTCGTCTCAGCAAAAAAAGCCCAAGTGTAGGTTCTAAAAAAAACATCTTTCACAAAAGGGATGGAACAAGCTGAGAATCTGCATAACATGCGCTGGAGTGGAGGGAGTAGGGAGCAGGGGGGCGGGGGTAGGGGAGGGGAAGTTGAGGCTCAATCGTTGTAGCCCCACAAATGTCAAGTTGTGGTGTGGGCTGCCATCTGGGAAGGGAAAGAAGGGAGGGGAAGGCACGAGTGCGTACCGGTACTCGTACTCGTAGATTCCTAGGTCGGGATTCCTAGGTCGGGACGTCATTGCTAGTTCGTAAGAGAAAAGAAGAGAACCCCTCCCCCCGAAATTGGCTTTGCGAACATTTGTTTCGTCTTGCTCTGTTCCAATTTGTTGTTTGTTTGCCCCAGCTGGTGAAAGCTAGCTTAGATCGGTGTTGCTAGGATAAATTTATTTTATTATAAATAAATTAATCTTTTGTGAAGGTTGCACTCGCCCTTAGGAGGGGCTGCCTGATTACCTTCCGCTATTTGCTTAAGGTGTGGCGATTTTGGGGTCCCCTTTCCCTCTCGGCTAACTTGGCCGCTCCTAGCTCCAATCCGACTTTTTTGTGAAAAGGTGCTGTTGGATTGGTTTGGATTGGAAATGGAGTACAGACGCCTTTCACGTTGTGGTGTCGATGGGTGCAAGCAAACGCTCTTTTACCTGGACGATGGGCAGTGGTTTTGCAAGAATGGGCATCTAAGAGAGGTATGGCTTTTGTGATAGATATGGGGGGTGTTATGGGTAGCTAATAGGGATTAACTTAGGGAGAGCTCGAAGTAGCTGCGGACGACGAAGGCTTTGGCACGCAGGGATCCAGAGCTGCCGAAGCGACGCAGGAAAGGGAAAAAAAGGGAAAAGGTATGATGAATTGTCATGGTCTAAAGAGACTGCTCCTCTCATTCCCACTAGCCGGGTCGATCTGTCCGCTGGTTGGTTGGTAACTTATAGGGATGTTGACAAAAAAAACTGTATTGTAGTGCTCCGTGGTCGAAAGGGCTTTGAGTTATTCCTTCAATGCTATCAATTAATCCTCAGGAAACAAGTTCACTGGCTAGTGTCTGAGAAGCGCTTCCCGAGAGAACTCGAGGTATTTTTCTTTCTGCGGCCACTTTTGCTACTTTTTTTTCCTTCCTTCCCCCCCCCTCCCCTTCTATCAACAGGAGCAGCAGCAACAAAACAAAACAAACGGGTAGGGCTGACCAGACCTACCGGTAGATCGTTGTCCGGGATTTGTGGGCTCTCCAACTACAAAAAGTCTCCACTACAGTTCCTACGACCGCAGATGATCCAACGAAAAGTAGGGATAGGTATGATGGTGGTGACGAATATGATGATGGTGATGATGGTAGAAACCTGGACGGATCGGGTGACGTTGGGTCTTCATCGGCGGGATATTCTTCTCAGTCTTCGTACTTGTACACGAGTGACGACTCGCAGTCTACGGCTCAGAGCAGGAATTCACAGGGTACACAACGGAGGAGGAGGAAGAGGAGGGTACCGAGAGCTGCGGATAGGCCAAAGTTGGTTGGATCTGTGGGGATTTGCTATCTAGGGTTGATTGTGCTTGGTGTTGCGGTATCGCTGGGGGATATTCACCGGTGGGTCGAGGAGCAGGGTATTGTCTACTTGAGAGCTATAAACGAGATTCCCAGTGAAATGAAGCAAAGGCTTGATGCAGAGTATTACGTTGCCTTGGACCCAAGAGTTTGTTGTCTCCTCCCTCTCTCCCTTACAGGGGTGTCTCCCTCCCCCATTCTGAGTGGGCAAACGAGCGGGGGCTGACGTGAGTGAGTGGACAGGTTCGTCCGACGCTAGGATTACTTCATTCAACAGTTCAAGGACTGGTGATTATGTATCAGGTCACTTTTGGAATGGCATTTCCTCCATTAAACATCACCCTACTTGTATTCGGGTTTATGAAAGCGCTAGGTCTTCCTCGTACGTTTACTTTTCCCCAAAAAACATCCTGCATGAATGATGAATCAAGGAAATCCTAATACGGTATAATGTTGAAGTGGAAATATACTACGGTTTCAAACGCCTCGCAAACCTGATCTCTCTCCCATTCATGTGGAACGGCCTCAGGTACCGCGGGCGAGTCACCAATTGGCCCGAAGCCCGTTTAATGGCCCTCCTGATAATATCGACAAAGCTATTATACGGCCTCGATGGGGTAAAACGTACGCCTAAATCTGCAGTCGAGCCGGCAGCTACAGGGTTGAAATGGAGAGCATGGGATGGGTACCTGCGAACTAGTAACGCTGAGCATCGAGGACTTCTCAGCGGGAACGTCACACCAGGAAGTGAAGGAGGGGAAAGAGGGAGGGGAGTGGGAGGGAAAGACTTGGAAGTCGATGTGGAGGAGAAGGACGTATTCGACATGACCGGAGAGGAATTGGATAGATATATGGATTGGTTCGAAAAGAATTGGGCAGATGACTCTAATACACCCCGTACGTCATTATTTTATTGCTTTCTTTTTTTCTTTTTTTTCTTGAACTTGCGTTATCCATATCTCCTTTAATCCCCTCGCCAAAAAATCCGGGGGCAACAGCCAACCACAAGCTTGGCACGGGGTAGTTCCTCTTTTCTTTCCTTTTTTTTTGTCTTTTCAAGTTTAAGTTTACTTCTTTTTTCTATTTGACATTCGATGCATTAGTTCTTGCAGGGCAGGCTCACATACATTTGCATGTCTTGGACTAACCACTCATCCATTGCAATCAAATCAGTTACTAAACAGATAATTGATTTATTCCCTACTGGCCGCGCGGCGGCTGAGAGAGCTGGAGTCCACCAAGCCTACGATGGGCCCCGGAGTGGGGCTCCCGCAGATAAACCGGCACAACATGACCTTACGGATGAAAGGCTGCGAGAGCTAAATTCTCAATTCGAGATATACCCCGCCCAGCAGCAGCCAGAAGAAGAGGAGGGGGAAGAGGACGAAGAGCAGCAGCAGCAGGGGGAGGGGGATAATTACTCGTCACCACAACCACAACCACAGCGAGGAGAGCTCGTAACCAGACCGGGAGGTCAGTACCTTTGGCATTCAATCCCGACGGAGTTGCCTGTTGAGCAACAGACTCTTCTACAAGCTGGAGCGGACCTGTTGGCTATCACCAGGGATGATTTGGCTAGGATTATTAAGGTTCTAGAAACCCAATTCAGGGATCTGGTTAAAAACCAAAGGAGGAAGGAGATGCGAGAGAGGAGGAGAATGGATGTTGATTGACAGACAATACCCTGACTGATAGGAGACGGAAGCTATAGAATATGGGGCATCTGAAGCATGGCTTCTTACTACAATACCGGTAACCTAATTTTTTTTTTCTATAGTACCTTATAGCACACTGTGATCTACCGTATACCAGTTTCCGGTAAACTTCCGGCCCCTTCTTTGTGATCTTCCGGTTTTGTGTTGTAACTGGTCTGCATCTACTGCTCGCATATAATCCAGGGTCGGGCCAGTTCTCTTCCTTGGGGTCTTATGTCATAACCTAGTGGTTCTATATAGAAGCTGTACCCTTAAATAGTCGAAAATTTGACAAAAACAAGACAAAAACAAAAACCCGTGTGCTCTCCCCAGACCCCCCCTCCCCCGGTAAGCTGGTTCGATCCCGGATTGACAATCACTTCTCAATTGCCGGAAAACATCCGAATTTTGGTTGGGCTAGCATCGCCAGTTTTTTACTCTAAAGGGTCTTTGGTAGAAGTATGCGAGACGCAATGTATCCTACCCTACTCCTCCATCTCCTCATCCCCGCCTCCCTCCATGCTCTCTTTAGCCAATCTCTCAGCCTCGGCAACTAGCTCCTTTGGGACCTCCTCATGTTTTCCCCATCCTTTGACGGCGGCGTCCTCGGCAGAGCCCTTCTCGAGTCTAACCCATGTCATCTCCAACTCGAAATCCTTGTCTTTTGAGTTATCGTCGTGAGCAAAGTAGATGATTCTAGCAGCCTGTCTAACAGCTTCCTCAACAGTGATGTTGGGAAGGGGCAACTTCTCCAACTCAGCCTTAGCAGCTTGACGGCCTCGACCGGTTGCGGCTCCAAAGTAGCCCTGTGTTTGAATAGATGTTAGTGTTGAGGTTGGTGTGGCCCTGGGCGTCATTTAGAAACCCAAGGATCCGAAGTAGGCTTAAACAGGGAAATTCCTCGTACCCAGCCAACACCGCTCGGCTCTACCATCCACAATCCTGGCCCCCCAGCTTCATCCATACCACCAATGATTGCAGTGACACCAAACGGTCTCACACTAGAGTAAAGAGTATATGCTTGGGCATAACCACCCATTGCGTCTGCCATGCTAGAGATCGGGATCGGACTACGGTAAAGCTTGCGCCAGTTGGATGCTTCGCTGCGGGCACGAGAGGTAAAATGACGAGCATCCGGAATAAGACCAGAACAAGCCTACAGGGTTTCATTCGTTAATTTCAATTGGGGGGGAGGTTCGAGGCGCTGGCAACGGGGAAGGCGATTGATGGAAAGGGGAGGTCTCACAATCCCGATATGGCTATCAACACTAGCGATCCTCTTGTTGCTTCCTAGAACCAACAATTTGCTCCCGATTAATTTCTCGACAGCCAGGACGACACCATCTTTGCAACGGATTCCAATAGCTGTTCCACCGTTTTCCACAGCTTTTGTGGCATATTCTACCTGAAGTAACCCCACTGAAGTAAGTAAGGAGCTTCAGTTAGGGATTCAGTGGAGCGAGATAGAGTTGTACTAACTTGAAAATTTCTTCCATCGGGGCTAAAGACGGAGTTGGATAAATCATAACCCGTACCGATTGATGTCTATGATTGTCAGCAGCGAATAACACCCCGCAGTAAGGGCGCTACCAGTAGCCATCTCAACAGAGAAGCAGAATGGTACTCATAGGCAGTGAAAGGAGAATAATTACCATGACGGGGAAATGATGGATGCCTGGTTAGATGAGTAGATGATGATGGTGATGATGATGAGAGTGAGAGTGGGGTTTCTAGAGGACGATGGAGACAGCAAGCAGTTCAGTCTTGAGACTTTCTTGAAGGGGCAGCGGTTGCAACACAGAAGAGGGCATGCGAGTTGTGACGCACTGCCGGTAAGCTAGACCAAATTAAGAGATGGAGGGGCAAGTCAGGTAAACTTTGGTTTAAGATACCGGTAGTGATGTGTTCCTCTACAAGGCTCAAGGCAACGCATAAATACGTTTACTGGATACCGAGACCAGTCTAACCGTCCAGCCATGGCGCCGCGTACGGGATGACCGCCCTGTATTTTTATTTTTTTATTTTTTTTTAAGTGTGAACGGATCACCGATTTGGCGACAACCCTAACCTCAATTTTATTCTTATAATATTTATTATATTAAATTTTATTTTTCTGTTGCTTGAAGACACCGGATCCGACAGATAGGTAGCAATTATCATATCATACTTGAGTACATTACCAGCATACCCTCAAGGTACCGGTACCGCTGGGAGTTACTTCTTACAGAGCCCACACCGCCCCCAACCAACACCCCAGGATCTATTGTCATCTTGAACCCCGTAAGAGCCATAGGGCATGCTGAGATGCTGCAGACCTCGCTGGCTTACACAGGCACCCCACCGAGCCCTGAAGTGACTGACTACAGGAGTAAGCTTGTCAATCGGTAGACATCGGCTCCATGTCTTCATCCAGTTGCGATCATCGCACCAGTGGGTGGGTGCCCAGAGGGAACCCCTCTTCATTACCATACATATCATTAAAATCCAAGACCAGGCACCGTCAGCTGAAGCAAACGAGAGGGGTCTATGAACTGGACAATTATAATAATAATATATTTATTCCTCCTCTCTTCCTGTCACCCACTTTTCCTTCTTTTTTTTCTTTACTACGTTGTACATTGCACCGTTCGAAACGTTCAACCTGACGAAAGTTCCGGAAAGAGACACCAAACAAAGGTAAACAAAAGAAAAAAATTTGTACTGGTACGGTATTGTTTTCTTCGCGCTAGGCCTCTCGTTGGCTGTTAGTTTCTCGACCGGATAACCATAGCTCTCCCTATTTATGATACACGCTTCTACGGAGGTAAAGAATCCGGTGCCCTTTAGACAGCCTTCGCGTCATATTTTTACTTCATTTCATATTTTTCACTTCAAACTATTGTAAGATCTCCTCTATCCGCTGCGTCTCCATCCTTTCGGATCATTCGGCGTACACGTGGGACCTCTTCAGCTGATTTCAGAACAATGGCCACACAGGTCGCGAGTTCGGTCACACACTTCCTCTATCGATTGTCGAGCTCTCAGACCACCTTCACCCCGCCAACTCGGGGAATGCTCTCGTTGGGGCTTGCTGTCAGAGAGACCTTGTAGAAATACTATTTCCACTTCCTGTTCTCCCTCCGAGACCCGTCAGAGAGACCTGCCTCCTAGTTGTTGGTAGTTCTAGAACCTATCATATCATATCATACATTTCTCTTGTACAGTCGCACCTCGTCCTCGCCATGGCCAAAGCATCACCTCCTCGACACCGTCCGACGGACCTTCACATTCAACCTCAGTGTTTTAATGTCCAGTCTAATAATATACTCCAAGCTCAGCTTACCGCCAGTCCTTCCTCTAGCGAACCGCTGTCCTACCGACACTCAATAAATTCAGTGCCATCGTTGTTTTCTTCTCCTACCACTCCTTCTCCCACTCTAAACAACGATTTTCAAGCAGGAATGGCTTTCTGGTCCCTGAAGACATGGCCTACCGGCAGATCAAAGCATATCTCCTCCTCGTCGGATCTCGCCCATTCCAATTTATCTCCTACCATAACCACCCCCTCTACTGCACCCTCGAGTATTCATACTACCGATCCTCCCAAAACACCAACTCAACCACGCTCAAAAACAAGCTTAATCAGAAGAGTTTCGAATAAACTACGGAGGAGGGCATCATCCTCCACCCCAAAAGATTCAGAGGAGCGAAGTGGGCCAGTTCTTGCGCGGCTTCGAAGTGACAGCTTCAATGGCGGAGAAACCGGGCGTCTCGGCATACAAAAGAAGGACGAGCCTTTCGAGGACGAAGATCACGAACAAGCTATTGAGGGAGAAGAAGACGGAGCGAGAACGAGTACTAGTGTGGAAGCTTCCCACCCAGATGAGTCAATCGGGGCCATTGGGGTCATGATACCCGATGTATTGAAGGATGGAACGGCAATGACTAGGGTTACGAGAAAGAAGAAGACCCAACGAATTTTTTCCCTAGATCCCACCGCCACCCGAGTAACCTGGGATGCTACGAAGCAATCTTCCAGATTTTATATCGACGATATTAAGGAGATTAGGCTGGGAGCGGATGCACGAAACTATCGAGAGGAATTCCAGGTTTCATCGGAGGTGGAGGACAGATGGGCCACTATAATATATGCGGAGCCGGAGACTGGGAAGCTCAAAACACTTCACGTCATTGCGCCTACCATTGAAACACTGGAACTCTGGACAGCTACGTTGGATATAGTAATGCAGTACAGGACCGAAATGATGGCCGGTTTATCAATGCCCGGTGAGAACTTTGTTGACGCTCATTGGAGAAACTATATGGGGTCCCGGGGTCCCGCAAAAGCTCCCGATTCAAACGACGAGAAGCTAGGGTTTGAAGATGTGGAACGGCTGTGCCGAAGGCTACATGTCAACTGCTCAAGACAGTTTTTGAAAGACAGGTTTAAGCAATCCGACAAGGACAAATCCGGTTTTCTGAATTTTGTTGAATTTCGTGAATTTGTTCGGTTACTAAAGCAAAGGGATGAAATTGTCGATATTTGGAGAGATGCTGTTACGGACAGAAAGGCTGGGATGTCTGTTGACGAATTTCGAACCTTCCTCAAAGAAGAGCAGAAGGTAGACATCGATTCTGAGCCAATGTATATTGACAAAATCTTTCGAAAGTTCACCCGGCCGCCTTCTTCTCAACAGCAGGCCACACGGAGGGAAAGGTCAACCGTCCGGATGTCAATGGACGCATTCTCTGATTTTCTTCTCTCTTCATCCTATAATCCCCCACTGCTCTCCGCGCCACTGGGTAACAACTTCGATCGACCACTGAATGAATACTATATATCTAGTTCACACAACACTTATCTCTTAGGTAGGCAGGTCGCCGGCGAGTCATCGATCGAAGCTTATATACGCGTCCTCAAACGTGGCTGCCGATGTGTTGAGATCGACTGCTGGGATGGCGATGATGGTAGACCAATCGTTACCCATGGTCACACCGGCACCTCCGATATTCTATTTTTGGACGTTATAACGGCCATCAGAAAGTATTCCTTCGTTACTTCAAACCTCCCCGTCATACTCTCATTAGAAGTCCACTGCGATTTGGAACAACAGGTTGAGATGGCGAAAATTCTTCGTAGCGTCCTAGGTGACGCACTTGTTACAGAGCCTTTCATGACAAACACGTTAATTCTACCAAGCCCAAACGTATTAAGGAATAGGATCTTGGTCAAGGTCAAAGGCAGCTCTAGGCAAGACACCTTAATGTCAAACAACGACTTCGGCTCAACGGAAAAACGGGCCGGGAGCACCAATAATCTCCCGAACTCTTCACCCCCGCTCCCTAAGAGCGGCATACCGAGCGAGACCAGCAGCTCCACAAGTGAGTCCGAAGGCCAAGACGAGAGCAAGGTCAAGAGGAGGCAGGAATCTGTGAAGATTGCGCACGAGTTAGGTTCTTTAGGCGTTTATACTAGAGGACAGCGGTTTTCGAACTTTGCGCTGCCCGGTAAGCCCTTTTTTGCACTTCACGTTCCCCAACAAATACTAACCACGGCACCCCTTCAGAAAGCAAAACCTCCAACCATGTGTTCTCTTTTCAAGAGAAGAAATTCGAGAAATTCGCAAAGGATCCGGAAAAGAAGGTTCAATTAGAGAAGCACAATGTTCGGTACCTCATGCGAGTTTACCCATCTGGATTTCGAGTCAACTCCTCGAATTTCGACCCAATCGGATTCTGGCGTCGAGGAGTCCAGATGGTTGCCCTCAATTGGCAAACTTACGACCTAGGCTTGCAGATCAACGAGGCCATGTTTGCTTCTGAAGAAGATCGTGGTGGATATGTTCTGAAACCAAAAGAACTCCGGGGTTCCAGGACTTCTTTCGACCCACCTGCCGATGCAAATGCCGCAACACTAACAAAGAACAAGAAAGTTACAACCTTTTCTGTCGAAATAATTTCCGCGCAGCAATTGCCAAAGCCTAAAGATCACAAGGACAAAGGCATTCATCCATTCGTGGTAGTAGAAGTTTTTTCCGCGGATGACAAGGCGAAGGATAAATCGGTAGCCGAAGGCGGAATCGGTGTTGATTCAAGCGACGCCAAAGGTATCAGCGGGCTCGGAGCTCCCCAAAAGAGGCGAACAAAGGTGGTGAAAGATGACGGCTTTCACCCCTTGTTCAGAGAGAAAATGGTTTTTAAAGTCACAACCAAATTCGAAGAGTTGATATTTGTGAGGTTCTCAGTGTACAGTGCGGATGACGGTGATTCGAGTGATCGAACACTCATCGCTACCTACACTGCGAAGCTCCTCTCTCTTCAGCAAGGTAGGATACTATTCAAAGTACCCCGTTAAGCATTCAAGGGCGCTAACCTCTAAAAAGGCTACCGACACCTACCGCTTTATGATCTCCAAGGGGAGCAGTTTCTTTTTTCAATGATATTTGTCAAGATCAATGTCAGCTCGGTCTCGCTGGCCGACCGAGAGCCACTCATGCGGGAATCAGCAATGGAAGCGTTCAAGTCTACAGCAAAGTCAGTCCTACAGAGAGGCTTCTCCGCTAATGGGAGCTCGGTGAGACACTTGGATAGCCAAAAGATAGGTAAAACTGGTGGCCAGGAGCCAACAACACGGGTATAGATTTGATTTACTGGGTTACTTGGTTCGGGTTTGGGTTTGGGTTTGGGTTTACAGGCGTTCAAATACTCATTGGTAGCACTGCTTTTACCACTATTAAGCTACCTTATAATTTTTTATTTTATTTTCCCTTTCCTTTCTTCCCTTTTCTTTTCCAGCATGGCAGGGTTTTTTCCCCTTTCAGGGAAGCAGAGACCCGGTGGAACAAATTTTGAGTGGCCCTTCTCTATATCGTTGGTCTTTCCTGGCGACGATGGTTAGTTTGGGTTTTCTATTCCCCTCCAGAACAAAACAAGAAAGCATCGTAACTTAGGAATAAGTTATGCATACACCTCTGGCACGGGAAAATCATCCGAAGGCTTGTTCCTCTGACTGGAACAATCTACCCATGCATCAGGAGATTAACATTGGATTGGAACCTTGCCCCCCCCCCTTTTTTTCGATGTGGACATTGGCATTCGCTTACTCCTTTTGGATGTCTTTTTTCGGGTTTGTTACTCTCACGAAAGTACCGTATCTATGACGGCTCGTGGTCATAGATACTCGAGCTGAATCCCGTCTGCGGGACGTCCGTTTGTCTGTCCATCGATTCATTCAGTGATATTTCCATCTTTTTTATGGCATAAGTTATCCTGTTGCTCATCAAAGGAGTCCTTAACGAGAAGTGCGCTCTGGCCACTTCGGTACAACTCGATCGGCGGGTAGATCGATAAGAGCACCCCATGATATATTCTGTAATTCCTTCGCAATAGTGATGCTATAATCTTGCTACGAGAGACGTAGCCATCAACACATACAAGTAGAAGCAGAACACCCGATATGATTGCGCAGGACCAACGCCACCCACATAATCTAATCATAACCTCCCGAGCTGTCTAAATAACTGTGCAATATACACTACTACTCGAGTAATTACTCATAGTGGGTTGAAGTCTGCGAAAATGACTTCCATTGCACCGCCAAACCTTGGCCTTTCAGCTTGGATCTGGACGATTCGCAATACAGTAGCGGCTGTGTCCACGAACGTCGCTCCAATTGCGGGTAACGTACCAGCATCAAACGATAACATAGTATCATAAACCCATCCTTATTATATCCGCCTCCGAAGTTAAAACAAAGTGCGGCGAAAAAAGAAAGAAAGAAAAGACCCTCCCACCCGCTGTCATGCTTGCGCCACTGGCACCGCACCCTTTCCCCCTTTCCAACCAAGCCCCTTCTGTTCCTAATTAACGGAGCGGTACAACGATACAGGGTGGGGTGGGATGGACAGGAACAGGCCGCAGATGCGGGAGCGCGTTACATACGGTAGCGTACCGCCGCATGATGATGTTTTGGACATTCTATCATTTAACTAGTAGGGTGGGCAAGACCACGGTGGAGAAAAGTGGGGGGGGGCTGTTTTTGGTCCGTGCGTTAAATAGTTTTAGGTGGGGATTTAACGCTTTGGATCGGTGATGTGGTGTGGTCTTTGCCATGGGGAGTCATGGGGAATCACTCGGATGCTCCGATGCTCGATCGATGGATATCGGGTGTTTTTGTCTTCTTTTTTCTGTCCTTCTTCGTAGTATGATACGTGACATGGCTTCATATGCATGTTGTTTTGTGTGGGCTAGTTTACGGTTACGGTATACTGTATGACATGATAGATTATAATACGCGTGGAGGTACGTGTGGCAAGTTACCGGCTTATGATACTTCGCGTGCCGCCTCAATAAAAGTGGCTGGAGTGTTAGGCTGGTCCTATCATATTGAGAAAGGAAGAAGGAAAGGAAGTATCATACCGGGGGAATTTTGGCGGTGCTTGCGGTGGTGTAGTGGTGGTGGTGGTGGGGGGTTTCGTTTTCCCCAGCATCATAAACTCGGGTAGAGAGGGATGGTTAGATTGTCTATTGGTTGGTTGGTTGGTTGGTTAGCCAGCCAGCCTGCGGGGAGTCTGGGTATGTGTGTGTGAATCTGGGATAGGATACGTGAGCTGTGAATTCCCGCCATCATACATACCGTACCCATTTACTACACACACCAACCAACGAAGCTAGATCTGAGCATAATAAAAGTCAGTTTTCGGACAGGTCGGAAGGTATAGTACGATTGACCAAGCGAGAAGTGTGTGCGGTACATGCACGAAATTATTAAAGTTATGATAGCTTTGGAAACACACTACTCGATAGAATCTTAGGGATTGAGATGCGCCCGCTAGCGCATCTATGTACTCGTACATTATAGATACTTGTATACCATACTGTTGAACCATACGCTTGGATCCCCCACCCCCCACCCCCCACCCCCCACCCCCAACGGATCGCGGGGTCAGGCTCTCTACATACCATGCATGAAAACGGGGGGAGGGAAGGTGTAAAAAGACCACATCTACGCAGTCCCCACGGGGCCCCTCCGATCCCGGTGACGGGAACTCGAGACCTAAAATCGAATGGTGCCTCTAAGATAGGCCTTTCTTCTTCCTCTCCCAAGAATGATACGATACAAGTAGTTTCCATCCAGCGCCCCCCCCCCCCATACATCCCCTACACACATCCATGCCATGGCTCTCTTCGGCCCTAGGAAGACGTGCTAAAAATACTGTCATACTGTACTTAGTCTATGATACTCTATAATTTGGCTTTTCTCTTTTTGCAACGCGTGATGCCTCACTTCTGGATGGAGTGGCACATTTCTTATTTCGGGGCAGGTTCAGAATATTATTATTATTATTGTCTATATATATTATACGGGATGAAGGAGATTTTAGTTCCCTTTTTTTTTTTAGAGGAAAAGCCCGAGATATACAGTAAGATTTTGGGTCACCGATACTGCCATTCTGTCGACATCACAAGTCTACTCACGCGGTGGATTGAACACACAGGTCATACACCCCCCCCCTCCAACCTCCCTAAAGAGAACAAAGAGCGTTGCTGGAGGGACTGGTAATCGCCAACAAATCTCTCAAGATCGAGTATCCCACTTCTCCTCATCGAGTGTGGATTTATTATATCGGAGCACCAACCAGCTACTGAAATTCAACCCCCCCCTCTCGACAAAACAATCCCCACCATCTAATCCCCATATCTCGCACCTTGGCCAGACCCCTCACGAACGGGGGCCCAGAATTTGATGCCCTGTGTTTGTGCAGTGGTGCCTCGCCGCCGCGCGCCCGCCCCGCTGGTAGAAGTACTTACGGTATAAGTGGTAGGCATAGCGGACTCCTGTCTTAGAGTCGAGTATCCCGGGGGGATATCACATCATAATCCCATGCAAGGGGTCACGGTCCATGGGAAATTTCTAGAGCTTTATGAGCGTCTGGTTGTATTGCTAATGTATCTGCCGGGGCCCACGACACGAATGTAAGTGTGCAGTTTGTGCAGTTCGTGCTTGGGGGGAACTTTGGCCCATGACTCCCGGGGTCTGTGTTTGCAGAGCAGCTGTACTACTGAACAGGATTTCTTCAGCTCACACGGGTCCCCGGAAACCCTAGTTTGGGGTAATTAAAGGCAAGCATGATACAAAAGATGTGTGCCTGGATCTGTGGTATTGCCCTGGAGGTAGTACTCGAGGACGAATAGCCTACACTCAGGGGTACCGCTCCGAGACGCCCCGAGATGCTGCGCATTATTATGAATGATGCTTTATGGATCACCACAATCTGTTCTGGTAAGCCATAACGCCAATGATTTGTGCGATGCCATAGCCTATCGAGAGAACCCTTTATCTCTCACAAATACCACACAAGCCAGATTATCTGGAAACAGGGGATGCATTTAAAGCCAGCCACCCCAATCCTGCTCGGCATTTTCAACTGATCGGTCCCATCCCCGGTCCGATTGAACCAAGAGGAAACTAATAAAACAAGGAAATAAGAAGCCCCCCCCGACTACTCTATACAATCCCACGCACCAATTTTGGTATACAAGAGAGAAAAAAAATACGCCACTAGCAAGGACTAGCAGCTCATGCCGGAGTGATATAATGGTTTAGTATCCGTCCTTGCCCCACTTGTTGTACTTATCGTGAAGTTCCTAAGAACCAAATTAACTTTTTTTATCCCGCATACCAAATTTAGAAAAGGGAAGCATACCTTTGGCAAGTTGACGCTGGGAATGACAACAGAGTGCAAAGCGCTTGGGGCATCCTTGGGCGGGTTCCTGGCGTCTCCACCGGGATGGTACTTATACCTAAATCATTCCAACCCACATCAACAGACGAGCCCAAGTATAAAAGGAACGAAGGAAGGAGCATCATACTTGAAGTGATCCCTAGCAGAAGTCTCGGTCGACTCATTATGCCATGGCATTCCATCCTTGGCAACATTGATACGGCCTTCTTCGGATGTTGCCGAGGTAGGCTTCCGTCCTATCGCTCGATAAACCCGTTAAATCCCCATCTCATATTCCACAGTACTTGTAGGTAGGGAAAATGATAAAACATACCGAAGTAAAAACCCGCAAGTCCAAAAGCACCGGACATTACGGCGAGGAGGATCTTGTACCCATCACCATGTTAGTTTCCAGCTACCTAATAACCGGAGAGATGGGGGGCGAAGTGAGGCTCAAATGAACAGAAGAATTCTCATACATAAAGTTCGGGATCACGTTTCGCACCCTGCTTCAGGACGGACTTTCCGGTGTTGGCTGCTGCTCCAGGCATTGTTTTGTTGTGTTTGTTGACGGCGAATTGAGTATTGCTGCACGATTACGGTGATGATTGTTTTGGCGAGGGTTATAATAGAGGGAAACGTCAGGTCAGGGATACTGGTAGTCGAAACACCTGGATTTTGTATCCTGTGGCTGGTGGGGACAAGGTTTGTTGTGGCGGGAAGCCACATGGTGGGGCTCTCTCACTTTTTTCCCTACTTGGCGGAGGGGGTGGTGGGGTGGGATCATGGAATATCACTTTTGGTTTCCGGCCTCGGTCCCCAAAGTCCGGATTCCTACCACCCATTGTCCGGGACATTGGGATTGTTTGGGTGTTCCTGGAGTAGTCCTTCTCGAGGATATCAACATCTTTACAGTAAGTTAACCTCTGCCCTGGTAAGGAATTGTATATTATTATGAGACGTCATAATGCACCTCTAGATCTTGATACAAAACGCTATCGTGAAACGGCGACGGCAGATGCCCGAATATAAAAGGTACCAAGACCGCGCATGGGGGTAGAGGAACTCAATGGAAACATTGGCCAAAAAGTGCACTAAACAACAACTTCCTCTCGTGACATCCCCGTAGAACAAATGATTTTGAGTAGAGATTTTCTCGATTCATTTCGGCAAAAAAAACAGATCCCGAATTTATACAGTTTATTCTATGGGAATACGAACTAAATAGTAGTTCATATCCTATAGAACGGGATTATGTTACTAAATTACATCAGTTTTCCAGAACTTCATTCCCCTTTCTGTTTGGATAGCGTATGGCCAGTTGATTCAAGTGCATTTATTCGTTAATTTTTGCAAGCAATCTACTCCCAAGTCAGTCTCAAATGCCCCAAACAATTTCATTGAATGGGGTGAAGCGAATGACATACTCATGATCTCTGAAGAGGTGGTATTCCTCATCTCCAACCTTGACCGGGCTTCCACCGTACTATCACATCACCCTTAGTCAGTAATGGGCAATTTTCACTGCAGCAGAAGTAGGATGTGTATAATGTACCTGAGGGATCAGTACTCTGTCTCCAGGCTTGACAGATACCTCGATTCTCTTTCCCTCCTTGTTGGTTGCTCCAGGGCCGACAGCAAGGACCTTGGCCTCAGAGAGTTTCTCAACAGTGGACTCTGGAAGGTAAATCCCAGACGCAGTCTTTGCCTCGGCCTTGATACGTTGTACCAAGATGCGGTCGAGGAGAGGTGCAAGTGACTTGATAGAACGAAGAGAAGTAGCCTAGCAAACGAACAAACCCATCAGTGAGAACTCATATATTCCACCCAAACCTTGAAACTCACCATTGAGAATATCGAGAATATCAGCAGCAGTTGGAGATAATTCGTCGAAGAGAGCGAGAGTAATCGCACGATTATATCGTTGAATGGGGAAGGAAGAAAGAGAAGAAAAGAAGGAGAAATGGACACACCCGCCAAAGGACGCCCCCAAATTTGTACCATACAAAAAAAGTCTTGGCAGAATAATCCAGAAACCGAGGCCGTCCACTCCATACCCCAACCCACCATCATCGCACTACATCGCAAAACAAACTCTACGTCGACTCACCCATTCTCGCCTCTTCACCACCGCCCCTCATTTTCGCCAATTGGGACATGAATTCTTTCAGAGCCGTTAGTAGGATCGCCCTCAGAGTGAAGCCCACTAGGGCACTTCTTGCTCCCCGCAGGAACTACGCCGAGGCTGCGGGACCGGCTGATAAGATTCGGCTGTCATTGGCGCTCCCTCATCAGGTGGGGTGGTTGTTCCCTTTCCTTGAGAACATTCGCAGACTTTAGAAATGGATATTGTTGCTGAGTTTCGTTCCGTTCCTACATTTTAGACTATCTACAAAGCTTCAGATGTGTGAGTTTTTCCCACCGAGATTTTCTTATTCCCCGGCCAACCCTGGGGGATCATATAAGCATTGAAGGGATCGTATATCATCATGAACTTCCACATAACTAACTAACAACCCTACGTTATAGTATTCAGGTCAACATCCCCGCCGAATCCGGCGACATGGGTATTCTCGCCAACCACGTCCCATCGATTGAGCAGCTCCGACCCGGCGTAATTGATATCATCGAGGAGGGTGCTGGCAGCAAGCAATTCTTCTGTTAGTGAGCCTCCGCAACGATAAACCCACAAACCCACCCCCACCCATTGACAAAAGCATTATGTGGAATTCAGTATCCGGTGGCTTCGCAGTCGTCCAGCCAGACTCTCAACTGAGTATAAACGCCGTCGAAGCCTTCCCTCTGGAAGACTTTAGCCCCGAGGCTGTACGTGCCCAGATTGCCGAGGCGCAGAGGATTGCCAACGGAAGCGGTACTGAACAAGATATTGTAGAGGCCAAGGTTGAACTCGAGGTTTGTTTTAACCCCCTCCTCCCCTCTCCCCTAACCCCGCATTCTGTGACGTCGAGAGAGCGAGCCAGTGAGCGAGTAGAGGTTCCGATCCACTAGTAATTGACACTTTGACCGTTACAGGTTCTCGAAACCCTCCAGGCAGCTTTGAAATAGCCTGTCGAGGGGGAGTCCGCTGGTGGGCTCTGGGAGTTCCTTGACTTCTTTCGTTTTTCGCCCTCTCTTTCTGTTTATCCTTCCTCACTTTTACCACTATGATACTCCATTCCCAACCTTTCCCCCGGAACAAAACATGTATAGAAAAAATCATGGGAAGAGAATAAGAAGGGAGGGAATGGGGGAATGGGGAAACTGTAAACCCCTTAAAAAGATCCAATCCTTTACGTATACCATACCACACCACATACACATATGCCCTCACACAAGTGAAAAAATGCCAATCAATACACCCTCAAACCCGATTCATCGAAATTACTTAGATTTCTTAGCCTTCCTATGCCGGTACTGTATTCGGATACCAAGACTAGCCCGGGAACATTCCCAATGAATAGTCGTTTCTGATCTGCAGCAAGTAAGCCTATCAATTTGTAAAAAGAAATTCCATGAATTCTCGGATTAAATCGAGGGATAGTGAACCCTCTTGCGATTTTGTTTTGCCAGAAGGGGTATCTACGACAGTTGGGCCAATACAAGTACGACGGTGTTCACAGATTTTTATTATCAAGCTCCTCATCCGCGATTTTCCTCCACCTACCTTTTTCTTCCTTTTTAGGCAAGGGGTTTGGGGTCAAAACACCATCCCACCCTCACAATCCTCTCTCCAGTGCTAAACTCTGGGGCTTCATAGGCCTGGACATCAACCTTTCATTGTGGGGTTATGATTACAACACCATTCCTAGCTATTAGGGGCTTCTGGCCTCTGCTGTCAGGTGATGGCTTTAAACACTTCTCCCACCCTCCTGATGGCACTCTCCCCTTCTTAGCCATGAGGGGTTTCTACTCTTCTCACTGCTGGGTGTGCTCCTCTACTTGGCAGAATATCCTCACCACCCGGCTGGGTTACCTGATGAAATGGGATTGGTATTGCACTGCCTCCAGTCACTTACTGTTCAGCTAGTTGGTTAATACTCAACTCGGGGCTGGCATGCCTGGGCTGTATCCTCTTTACAAGCTTTCAGATTAGTTTTCTGTCCACAAAATAAGGTCTATAATGTGTTCACAAGGGGCTATTCACGTTATTGGTAATAGGTACAATAGTTGGCAGGTGGCCTGCTCTACCAGAGAGGAGGTGAGAGCAGATAACTAAAGGAGGCTGCGAGGGTGTAGTGAGAAAACTATAAAGTAACTATTCAACCAAGTATATTAAAATACTGTCTGTTGAAGTCTGCTGTTTCCATCATGGAAGCAGGTAGTCGTTAAATACACAAATCTGTTCATGTCTAGCATGAACAAAACTATTTAAATGTATCAAATAATACACTTTGTTAAAACAAATTAAGTATCAAACAATATTTAAAACATAATATAAAACAAAACCAAGTACCAAATGATACTTAAAGTAAACCAAGTATTAAAGTGATACTTAAAACAAAACATAAAACAAAACCACTAACCAAGTACCTGTACTAGTTACATTTCCCAAAACAAAACAACTATTTAAATAAACAAAACGTAATAATCGTCAAAAGCAGAGTCTGAGAAACTAAAGGCTTCATTTTCCACTACAAGTTCTTCATCATAAGTGTCATGAATACCAGATTCATGCTCTGCATCTACCCAAGCATTATTGCAATCAGGGTAGTAGTCTATTCAGAGGATAGCGAAGTAAACTTCAGGTTGGATAATATTGCAGTTCAATAATAGTCCAACAAGCTGTTGTCGAAGCCTTACATTGAGTTCCACAAATTTTGATATCGTTATGGTTTTCAGATGGTGAATAGTGACTAGACGAGGCAGTCGAGGACTTATTCTATGGCCTGGTTTTCCTCATCACTGCTTTTGAATTCCGACTTGAAATATGGTACCCAAAATCCATCTCTGACTTCTAGTTCAAGTTGCTATTGCTCAGTTTCTGGTATAGTTAGTGTCTAGCATATTGTGATGTAGTTAATTGTGGGCGGTAGAGAATTATTTGGCATATTGTCTTTCCACTACCTGTTCATCATATGCATAGCATACTCCAGCTCTTCCAGAGGTTTTCAGCTATTCTCACTCATTGGATATTCTTTCCATTTAACCAGAAATTAATCATTTCCTTGCTGAAGTCAGTGGTCTCAGATTGCTTCAACTTTCCATTCATCCTTTTTATCAATAATGATAGGTGCAGGTCGAGAGTGGGTTCTTCCAGGGAACTTGGAGTCGTCATTAGGGTAGAAGCATTTAATAGCAGAGGTGTGAAAAACGGCAGTATTGCAGTGATATATGTGCCCATCCATTTGGACAGTGTAGTTTTCGGTATGCTCATTAAAAGATAAGACCTTGAAAGATCATCACCATCGCAGTTGTGGTTTCTTGCTGCGTCTAACATTTGTAATAAACATGTTTCGATGGACCATAAGCATGTCACCAGGCAGAATAGGTATGTGTTTACATCGTCAATTCTGGGCAGTAGTTGTACTTCAAAATCATGCAGCTTTAACAGCTTGGAAAGCATCATTCTAGATAGCTTGATGGTGGTTTAAGTGGTCATTAGAGGTAGGAATAGAAGAGTTCTTAAATAGTATTATAGGCAGGAGAAGGTATTGGTGGCGGAAAATTGTCTTGTATAGAGACATTCCTAGGGTGTCCGAATATCTAGTATTGATATATGTAGCGAGCACGATGAGGGCAGGTTCCCAGTTGGTCAGTTGTTTATTGATCATATTCCAAGTTCTGGTCTTGACTCTACAGATCTTCAGTTCAACTTGACCATTAGTCTTGTGATGTCTAGGAGCAGCCATAATGTTGTTAATTCCACGGGAAGTTAAGGTTTGTTTCCAGAATCTGGCTGTGAAATGGGGGTCAGTGTCACGGACAATAGACAATGGATATCCAGGGGGGGTAAAAAGGTATCGCTGGAGGTTATTCCATGTGGCTTTAGAGAAGTCAGTAACCTTCATTAGTATGAAATATGCATATTCAGAAAATCGATCAATAGCTGTCAAGACTTAATTGCCTGGCAGAGTTCACATTGTTTGATGAAATCATGGAAGTGGTTTCGCATTTCGGGCCAGTAAACATATTCTGAGGCATATTGGAGATTGCAGTCAGTACTATAGTTGTAACAAACCCTCCTCGGATAGTTAGTTCTTAGCGACGGGGAATGATACTTCTCTTCTTCTCCTATTTCTTTCCTTAGTCCTATAATAGCACTAGGCCTCTGCCTACATTACCGATAGTACAAGACCTTTGTCTTCTACCAGGAACGCCTATCGTAAGCTTTCTCTAACTCTTCTTTGTGAAGAGCTTTCCTTGATGTAATGATAAAGGTTGTAAATAAAGATAAAGATCGTAAAGTGGTTTTATATTCGTTAAAGTAATAAGTAGGAAAAGTACTTAAAATTCAATCTAATTTTATTTAAACTCGTACTGCCAACACTGGTATACGATGAGCCCCCACTAGCACAGGGATACCGCTAACTGGTATACCACCAATCCTAAGCTAACTAAGTCTACGGCCCTGCACCTACCATCCCTGTGTAACAATCCCTCTCTGGATAGTTAATGCTTGGCGATGGGGAACGATACTTCTCTTCCTGTCTTCTTTTTCCTTTGTCTTACGATAGCTCTAGGCCTCTGCCTACGTTACCGATAGTACAAGACTCTTGTCTTCTACCGGGAACGCCTATCGTAAGCTTTCTCTAACTCTTCTTCGTAAAGCGCCTTCTTTGTCATAATGATAACATTGCAATAAAGATAAAGATCGTAAAGGTGTTTTATATTTGTTAAAGTAATAAGTAGGAAAAGTACTTAGAACAAAGCGTGAAGAACCTATCTTCCTCTGCCGCATCGACCTCCTTATATAGTGTTCTTCCCGCCTTTTGTCATGTGACCTAAAGTGGTCACATGTGTGAAACTAAATCATAACAAACTAGTCATATGACCAAAGTGATCACATGCTCAAAACCCATGAACTCATAGCGAGGTCATGTGCAAAACTCATAAACCAATCATAACGCAATAAACAAGTCATATGACTCGACTGAGTCATATGCACGAAACCCATGACATCATAATGAGGTCATGTGCGAAACATAAATCATATGTGCAAGGCTTACCCATAAGGCACACTCGTAGGGCATACTCGTCAGGCGCATGTCCCATATCTCATACTTGAGCCATGTGCGAAAGCATCACAAATCCCACAAATAACAAATCATATAACCCGAATAGGTCATATGCGTGAAACAATAACATACCTGTGACTCATAACCATGTGTCACGTGAAAACCCTTTCCTCGCTAAGCTATGTTCGTGACACCCTGAGTCATGCTTGCTCAGAAACCAATTACAAGACTATCAAACAACCTAGTGTCTGTCCCGGTCCAAGTCCGTAGCCCCTCTGGTACAAAGTCAAACAGCACTAAGTATAGCCGAAGCTGAGCAAAAGATCAACCCAACCAGGTTCCTCATCCAATAAAATATAAAATACTACCGCCCAGTCTAAACACCGTCCCATGAAACCTCCTCCACGGTAGAAAACGAACAAAAAACTAAACTAAACCTACAGGCGGCACAAGGGCAGGGAGGAGGCGACCCACATGTCCGCCTCTCATACCCGCATGCCAGGCCGTCGACTCTATGAACTCACTTTGCCAGTTGCCTTCGAAGAGTGTACCAGTGAGGAGGATCTGTACCCACTGCCTGTTCTCTAAACAAAACAATATTTAAACAAAAGAAATACATAGAGGTGGTGACAGACTGCAAAGGTGAGTGGGGCCTATCTCCCACCTGTGGTGCCATGCCTCCTCCCACCAAATCTGTAGCCAAGCTAAAGAAACCAAATAAACCCCACGAAACGCAGCACACAAGACCCAAACAAGTCCAACCAGATTGTCGCAAACCACTATCCGCACAGGTAGCCATCAGCCAGCCAGTCCATTGGGTAGCTTTACAGAACTCAGCAGCTTCACCTAACAGCCCAAGCCAGACTGGAAACACATAATTAGACCTTGTCCAACCTGACGCAGGCCCGACCAGTACTCACAGGTGCCTCTCCCCCCCAATCAACCCCCCCCAAGCCCCACATACCAGATGCCACAGAGTCCATCCAGCCCCCTAGCCCCTCAGACAGATCAACCATCCGATAACCACAGGACAGCCTATACCTAGCCCCATCAGGAAGCTACTGGTCTTAGCTACACTAACAGAGTCCTAAGTCCTAGCACCTTGTAGCCGAAGAGGACACACCAGCCACAGCCAGG